TCATGGCCCCTCAACCTTCCCTTCACTGTCTTCTGCCTCACCAGATGTGTCTGAACCATTCTAACCAGTTCACTCACCTGGGCAACATTGCCGAAACCAGCAAGTAAGTGCCCCCATGCCCACCTCTGCCTGATGTGTGCACCCCCAGCCTGCCCCTGGGACCAGGGATCTGAGCAGAGCCCTCTTATGGCAGATTTGAGAAACTAGCAGAGGACTGTAAGCGGAGCATGGAGACTCTGAAGCAGGCCTTCGCCCGGGGTCTCCCCACGCCCTCTGCCCGCTTTGAGCAGAGAACCTTCAGCGTCATCAAGTAAGGCCCCAATGGCCCCTGGCCCAGATGCCCCTTTGAGGTGGGGTTTGCCCTCCCCAGAAGCCGGTGGAGGACTTGCCTCTGGAGGAGAGTTTGGGTGGGTGGTGGGAGCATAGCACACTCAAGGGTCCTGAGACAGGCATGAGGTGTGAGTGAAGGATGGCAAGTGAGGGGGTGTTAACAGTGACACCCCGTGGAAACAGTGCAGAGGTGTGCCCTGTCAGGGGCCCGTGCGATGGCGGTTGTTGGTCCTGCTTCAGTTAAGTGTTCCCACACCTGGATAGTTGCGGTAATTGCTCCACTTATAGAAGTTAGGTGCAGCCTCTGGGGTAACCTGAGAACCACCTTGGAAAATCCACACCGTTTACCCTGGCTTTCCCACGTCTGCATGGCCTGGCTCCGTGTCACTTCCTTTCTGTCTGTTGTCCCCAGTTGGCTCACCTCCTGCCACACAGACCTCTTTTTGGTCCCTCAGACACACCAAGCATGTTCCCACGCAGGGCCTTCACCCCAGCGGTGTGCCCTGCCCAGACTCTGTCCCCCATGTAGCATCTCCATGAAGCATCTCTATGCAGCAGCTTCTTGACATTCAGCATCACCTATGATGTCACCTGAGAGCCCCTCCTGAGCACATTTCAGTCTTTCCCCTATTTTAATTCTTTGCAGAGTTGCTTTATTTCTTTATTCATTGGGCATTTTTCCACTCAGTCAGCTCAGATTCCATGAGCACAGAGATGGGTCTCATTTACTTCTGTATCCCCAGCATCAAGACCAGCGTGATCAAGAACACAGGCTGGCACATAGTAGGGCCTCCAGAAATATTGTTAAATGAAGGGAAGGTCCCCAAGCCATGAGGTCACTGACTGGCACTTAGTAGGTACTCAAGTAATGCCAAATGAAGAGAAGGCCTATAGCAGCTAGGGCACTGGCTGGCACATAGTAGGAGCCTCCTGAAACACTGTTAAATGAAGAGAAGGTGCCACAGCAGTGAGGCCACTGACGTGCAAAGCAGGTACTAAATAAATGTGTGCAAACTAAAGAAAATACCCAAAAGTTAGTCGTTGGCAGAATTGGACAGAGAACTCTAGTTTGTCTAATTCTAAAACTGGAGCTCAGGAGCTGAGACACCCCCAAAGGCAGTGCGGGGTTCCCTACCCGTGCTGAAGGAAAAGGTGGGGGGGCAATGAGGTTGAGGTTCCTCTGTCTCCCCACCTGCCCTCCTGGAAGGATCTTCCCAGACCTCAGCAGCAATGACATGCTCCTGTTCATCGTGAAGTGCATCAACTTGCCCACACCTCCAGGTGAGGGGGCGCCAGGCAGGGGTCAGGGCTCTGGGGACCACCTCTGCCCAGCTGTGACCTTTGTTTGTCCACAGGGCTGTCCCCTGGTGATCTGGATGTCTTCGTTCGGTTTGATTTCCCCTATCCCAATGTGGTATGTGGAGAGCCAGAGAGAGATGGGCTCGAGCCCCATCAGAATGGGAAGTGGGTTGGGCAGGGGTCCCAGGCCAGGCCCCAGGCCCTGAGCTTACCTGCCCCTTGACTGGTCCCAGGAAGAAGCTCAGAAAGACAAGACCAGCGTGATCAAGAATACAGACTCCCCTGGTAATTCATGGGCAATAGGTACCCCCTGCCCTCTGCAGAAATAACACGAGACGATAGCTGACCCCTCCCTCCTTCCCTGGGCAGAGTTCAAGGAGCAGTTCAAACTCTGCATCAACCGCAGCCACCGAGGCTTCCGAAGGGCGATCCAGACCAAAGGCATCAAGTTCGAAGTGGTCCATAAGGGGTGAGTTGGGGGGTCAGGCACTGCATGGGCTCTGAGGGAGGGGAAGCTACCCTGGGCCAACCGTCCTGCGTCCCCTCACATACACAGGGGCCTGTTCAAGACCGACCGGGTCCTGGGCACAGCCCAGCTGAAGCTGGATGCCTTGGAGACAGCATGTGAGGTCCGGGAGATCCTTGAGGTAAGAGGTGACATTAATGCAGTGTTCCATTATGGCCACGTCATCATTAACAGTACTCAGATGCTCCCTGCCCTGAGCCTCCCAAGGGTCCTCTCTGCTGACCCAGCCCCTCCCCTGGGAGTCGAAGACCTCCTTACTCCCAGCCCCTAATACTTCCAGCACCTGTTCCATTATGACCGGCTGGTATCTCAGTCTCACCCATGGGCTCATATTTTGGAAATCACCTTGGTTCTCCCTTATCCCAGCCCTGGGACTCCAGCCGCTGCCTGCTTCCCAGCAGCCTCCCCTTATGCCCACCCAGGTCCTGGATGGTCGCCGGCCCACAGGGGGACGCCTAGAAGTGATGGTCCGGATTCGAGAGCCACTGACGGCCCAGCAGTTAGAGACAGTGACTGAGAGATGGCTGGTCATTGACCCCGTGCCAGCAGCTGTGCCCACAGTGAGACCCCCGCCCAGCAGCAACCCCAGGGCGGGAGGCTGGGTTCAAGGGGACCCAAACTCACAACACTGGTTTTGTCCTCTGAAGCAGGTTGCTGGGCCTAAAGGGAAGGCCCCTCTCATGCCTGCCCCTGCAAGGGAGCCAGGAAACAGGTAGGTGGCTGAGCCAGGCCGTGCTGGAAAGAACCCCTCTCTTCCCATCTCAGTCCTTCCTGGACAATATCTCATCAGGCACAAATTGGGGCATGTCCTTCCCCCCTTTAAAACCTTTCCTGGCTCCCTTTCTGGAGGATCCAGTTTAAACTCTTCAGCTTGAGTGTTAAGGTCTTTTTGATCTGACCATTGTGAATACTAGTATATCCAGCCTTCTCTCCCCCACTTCCTCCTGTTGGTTCATGGCTATGCCTAGTTTTCACTGTCCTCTTGGCGTCTATGTTACAATGCCCGGAGCACCTCTACCTCTACACTTGTTCCCTATTCCTCTGCCCAACTCTGACTCCTATGGGTCCCAGATCGGCTGTCATCTCCAGGAAGCCCTCTCTGACTGCCTGGCACAGCCATTGCAGTGGCCTGTGTATACAGTTGCCTGAGTGAACATCATTGCCACTAGGGTGTAGGCTGAGCAACATTGTGGTGGGCCTGACTTGTTTTCTAGTACCCAATGTATCAAATTAATGGAGTCAGGGATGAGGGGTCCTTGTAGACCCTCATCCCTATCCCCACCCCATAGATCTGCCCGGCCCCTGCATAGCCTTAGTGTGCTGGCCTTCGACCAAGAGCGTCTGGAGCGGAAGGTGAGTGCCCACCCACTGGGCTTGGTGGGGCAGGATTGTGGGGTCTGCAGGCTTAAGCAGGGCCCTCTCAGCCCCCTTTGTACCCCATTCCCTCAGATCCTGGCCCTCAGGCAGGCCCGGCGGCCAGTGCCCCCGGAGGTGGCCCAGCAGTACCAGGACATCATGCATCGCAGCCAGTGGCAGAGGGCACAGCTGGAGCAGGGGGGCCCAGGCATCCGGCGAGGTGGGGGCTCAGGGACAGGCACACGGGGGAGGGGCAGTGGCAGTGGCCCCATTCTGACCCCCTCCCACCCTCAGAATACATGGCCCAGCTGGAGCATCAGCTGCAGTTCTACACAGAGGCTGCTCGGCGCCTAGGCAACGAGGGCAGCAGGGTGAGCCGGGTGGAGTTCGGGTGGTCACTGGGGGACTGGGGCTGCCAGGGGCTTCCCACCGACTACCCTTTGGATCCCCAGGAAGCTGCAAAGGAGGCGCTCTACAGGCGGAACCTGGTTGAGAATGAGGTGAGCAGCTCAAGTGTTGGGGTGGGGGTGGGCAGCTGTGGCCATGGCCCCCCTGACCCCTGTGGACTTCTGCAGCTGCAGCGGCTCCGCAGGTGAGGGGCCAATGGGGCTGGCCGCCCTGGAGATCCGGGAGCAGGCTCCTCCGTGGTGCTGGGAGGAGCTGGCATGGCCACGGCTTCCGACCAGACAAGCAGACAATCAGCGGACAATCGGTTCTGGATGGACTCGTCCCCTGCTGGGCCCACCCAGCCTGGCCAGAGCCTCCCTGGCAGGGGGCATCAGGGATGGTGCCTACCAGCCAGCCTGTGCCCCTGGCCTGTCCGGAGGTGGAAGAGTGGCTAGGACCAAGCCCTGAGAGCCCCTGTAAGCACTTTACTCCCTGTCCCTCCCCAGCCTTAATCCTTAAGCCCTCCCACACCCAAAGAAGCCTCTGAGAGCAGCCAGAACCTGGCTGGCTCCCCACAGGGGTGCCCTGGCCCAGCTAGGCCCCAGGGTTGATACACAGAATAAACAGCCAGGGCCACACCCGGCTCTCCATCTTGTCTTTGTTTCTTGCCCTCAGTGGCTGCTTTGGGTCTTTCCCCCCCACACCTTCCCCAGGGGTAGGAGAAGGGAAGGTGCCTGGGAGGCGGAGTGTCCACAAGGGATGTGTTCTTGCATGTGAAAGCCCATGCATCTGTCAGGGGTCTGGCTGCCTGAGGGCGCCTGCCCTACCATGCATTTACTCTTCACGTATAAACCCAGATATGCCCAGTGGCCTTGGGTATATCTGGGTTTAGAGGTGTGGTCAGGCCATACGTGGTGGTGCTTGGTGACCCGTGGGGTTCTCAGGGCCTCAGAATCCAGCCCTGCCACTCACTAGCCACGGGACCTGGACCAAATTGCCTGATCCACTTAGCATCCTACAGCCTCAGTTTCCCCCACTGGATATAGGGAGGGTGAGAGCCCTTCCTGTCCCACAACGTGAAGGGCACCTGATTGGTGGTGAGTGCTTGAAAGAATTAGGCTTTATTGTTACTGTCTCCATCTGTGCGGGACCTGGCCAGCAGGGTCACCTGATGTGTGAGCTGCATGGCTCGGTCCCTCCCTCCGTGTGAGGTGCCCCAGCTTCCTAGCCAGCACTGGTCAGGTGGGCTTAGCCCGGAGGCCTGGGAGAGATGGGTTGAGGCCCCAGGTGGGCACTGTCTCCTTAGTCCACAGCCCGGCAGAACCCCTTAGGTCAGGGGCACCCTGCCCGTGGCTGCCGTGGTGCCGTGGATGGCAGCTGGATCAGGACCTGCTCAGGGTTACCCGTCGTGTCCACCACGCACAGGTGTGGGAGGCCCAGGAAGGCCTCAGGCGCAATGCTGGTCATGTGAAGCCTGTTGGCCCTGAACCAAGAGGCAAGCATGAGGGCAGGTGCAAGGGAAGGGGCCATAACCCCCTGACCCCCTGGGCCTACTGAGGTCCCCACAGCCCGCCATGGCCCTCCCTGCCCATGTGGACCTGCCCAGCTGCCCTGAGGGCACCTGAGGAAGAGGGCGCGCAGGCTGGGTGTGCTGAGGAAGGCTTCGGGGCCCACGTGGCTGATGCGGTTACTCTGCAGGTGCAGCTCCTCAAGGGCCTCGGGCAGGTCGGGAGGCACGAAGGACAGCTGGTTGTGGCTGAGGTCCAGCACCTGGGCAGGTGGGCAGAGACGCCCCATGATGGCTCTAGGCCCCGGGTCATCTGCTCAGCTAAGCCCCAAACCACTCTCCTCCCAAGCCCTCCTCCCCTGCATGCCCGGCCCAGTCCTGCCCCTTCTCCTGGCCCTTTTCGAGGCTGCTGAAATCCTCCCCATGGCAGAGGTTAACTGAGTCCTTTCTGGGGCAGGCCCTGCTATAGATGCTAGGGGCACAGACAAGTTCCCACCTACTGTGGGAGACACTGATTCAGTTAGCCATTCACGGAGATGGCACTTAATCCACATTCTCATGCCCTTCTAACACTGTCGTTTACTTATGTTTGTTATTGATTGCTTTCTCCCTAGGCAGGGCGTTTATGCCAGGGCCAGGAGCTGTGTCACTGTGGCCCCCCTAGAACAGTGCCTGACACCCACAGATGCTTTAAACTCTGGGGTTAATAGTGGTGAGGAGCTAGAGGCCACAGTGTTTACTGAGGCGATGGAGGGGGTGTCTCAGAGGACCAGGGGGCAGGGACAGCACAGCCAAAGGCCTGGAAGCTGAATCTGTCTTATTTACCCCAGGGCTAGCCCCCCATGGGGGGCTCTTTTTGTGGTATCATCCAAGGGCCTTGTGGAGGAGGACCTGGGCTAGCAGGGGATGGAAGGGCCATGGGGACAGTCAGTGTGGCTAACCAGCCAACCTCTGACCTGGAGGGCCTGCAGCTCATGCCAGGTGCCAGGCTCAATGTCGCCCACTCGGAGTCGGTTATGTGCCAGGCTGAGCTCTCGCAGCTGGTCCAGGCCGGCCAGCGGCTCGGGCTCTAGGGCCCGCAACTGGTTGCGCTGCAGCCGCAGGGTGTGCAGGCCAGTGGGTAGACCAGAGGGCACCCGAGTCAGCTGGTTGCCGGCCAGGTCGAGGCTGCGTAGGGCACGCAGCCGGCGGAAGGCCCGATGGTGCACGCGGGCACTGACCAGATGGTTGTAAGCCAGGTTGAGCTCGGCCAGGCGTGGTGTGGCTGCCAAGTCTCGGGCACCCAGTGCGGCCACACGATTGTGGGGCAGCACCAGGGACCGCAGGCGGCGGGGCAGCGCCAGGGGCACACGCTCCAGCCTGTTCCCATAGACATGCAGCGTGTGCAGGCCCCGCAGAGGCCGCAGCGCCCCTGCCGGCAGCCCCGCTGCCCCCAGCCGGTTGTGCTGAAGCAGCAGGTAGCGCAGTCCCCGTGCCCCACGAAGCCGGGCTGCCTCCACCTGCTGGATGCGGTTCCGGCCCAGGTGCAGCACGGTCAGGGTTCGCGGCAGGCCGGCAGCACCGCGGCCAGCTGATTGTGGGACAGGTCCAGGTACTCGAGGCGGTGCAGTTTGCTGGTGGGAGAGGGGACTGGCGTCGGTCTGGGCACCCGGCCTCGTGGACCAGGTGATCTTGGGTGGAGGGCAGAAGGGCTGACGAGTGGTACTGAGATGTCAGCTGGAAATTCCAACTTTGGGGTGGTGAGTTGAGAGATCTGGGTGGGAGGTAAACTTGGGGTGATCAAGGCAGGTTCTGGCCTGAGGGTTAGAGGTGGGGATGACCAGGACGGAATTCTGGGTCCAGATCTGCATGTGGCAGCTGTGATGTTGGATAACAAGATGGGAGCACAAGGGAGTTGGTGGTGAGGGTGGCTGCCCGGTGCTGGGCTGAGCTGGCGCACAGTGAGTGCTCACTAATGAGGCCGTGGGGTAGGAGTGATACACAGGAGAGGACAGAGGGTGGCGGCCCCAGGCTCTGAATCCTCAGCCCCTACTCCCAGCACAAAGCTGTACCCCATCCCACCTGTCCCAAACCCCACCTGAAGGTGGTGGCATCCAGGCCACTGTCTGTCAGCTGGTTATGTTGGAGGTAGAGCTCACGGAGGTGGGTCTGGCGGCTCAGGGCTCCTCGGGGTACCTTGGAGATGAGGTTGTTCTGGGAAGGGAGGAGAGAATGAAGCGCAGGGTCCGGAATAGAGGGCAGTGGAGAGCCACAGAAGGCTCTTGAGTAAGGGAGTGATAGAGGAGGAGCTGACTAGCAAGGCTGCTCAGAGCACTTGTGACCCACTTGTGCCAGTGGTGGAGACTCAGAGAAAGATATCGCTGACAGCTGGAATTTTAAGGGGGCAGAGGGGCCTTCCAGGAGAGAGGTGAAAGGGGTCGGGTGGCAGGGGGTGAGGGGGGAGGTAAAGTGAAGGAGGGGCACCTGCAGGTGGAGCCGCTCCAGAGAGGGTGGCAGGCTGGGCGGCAGGTAGCTGAGCCGGTTGTTGGAGAGGCTAAGGGTGGTGACAGCCTTAGAGCCGTGGAAGGCATCGGGGGGCAGGCCGGCGTTGCTCAGGTGGTTGTTGTGGAGGTACACGGACCTGAGGGGAGCCAGGCTGTGGCCACCCCCAGGCTCCCCACCACTCCCCTCTGCACCCCAGCTCAGGGCTGCCTTCAGTGTGCGTGAGAGTGTGTGTGTGTGTGTGTGTGTTTCTCCAGACAGAGCATCCAGGGTCCTGTCTCCCCCAGACCCCCCACGGCAGGCTCATGACCTCCCTCAGACCCAGGGGAGGGGTGGCCTAGGCATGCCTGAGGCCTGGAGGGCCCGAGATGGGCCAGGGGCTACCTGAGCGCCGGCTTCTCCCCAAAGGTGAGTGGGAAGATCTCCGTCACTTGGTTGGCAGCCAGATCCGCTACTCGGAGGGAACGAGGCAGAAACTGGGGGGCCACCGAGAGCTGTGGGAGCACAGTGTGCTGGTCCTGGTAGCACCTTCCAGTCCCTGCTGTTCCCTCTCTGCACTCTGCTGTGTGACTGGCTGGGTGGGGTGGGGAGCTCACCTTGTTGTGGGCCACGTAGAAATGCTGCAGCTGGGTGAGGGACTCAAAGGCCTCGTCAGGCAGGCCTGGGAGCGGAGTGGGTATTGAGGGGATCCCAGGCCTGGGAGGGGGTAGGGGGCAGGGGGAGTCTGTGCTCCCAGCTGCCCCAGGGCTCCTGGCCTGGGACTGGCAGAGGCTCCTCCAGGCACCCCCTCCCAGTCCACAAAAGCCGCAGCCCCCACTCCCCACCCCCATCCCCTGAGTTTCCATCCTGCTCAGCAAAGGGCAGTTCTGGGAAGTGCCGCAGAGCTGCCCACAGACCCAGCATGGGGGAGGGAGAGGGCTGCTGGGGCCAAGCCAGGGAGGGCAGCCTCCTGTGTTCCCCCTCACCCTCAGAGGAGATGAGATTGTTGTGCAGATTGAGGGTTCGAAGACCACTGAGGCGGGACAGCTCATTGTAGGGGAGCTCCTGCAGCTGGTTGTTCTGGGGAGGGGCATTCACACCCCTGACCCGGATGACCCTGAGCCCTCAACAAAAGCCCCCAGCCCTGATTCTCAGCTTCCCAGCAGCCTAAGCAGGAGAGCCCCAACACCCCATTGTCCCCAGAGTTGATCCCAAATGCCTCATCACCCCTTGGCCAAAAGGACTTTAATCCCCAATACCCCATCCACCCCTATAGTTGACTCCTGACACCCATCACCTTCACCCCAGACAACCCCATAACTGTCAAGATTTTGTCCCCCTGTCTCTCAGCCCCTCCCACATCCAATATCTGTACCCCACCTCCAACACCAGGGCCAACTTCCATCAGTGCCAATACCCACATGCCCACTGCCTCACCCCTGCATAAGGACCCCACACTGTCACTCAATTCCAGCACTTCCCATGCTCGTCCCACTTCACCCCACCCTGTAATGTCCCCCCCTCACCTGCAGGGAGAGGTGCTGAGCCTCCCTGGTGATGTTGTGGGGGAATAGCCACAGGTCCAGGCCATCGCAGTCCACGGTGTCAGCCCGGGGGCAGGAGCAGCGCAGGGGGCAGGCCCGGGGCGGGGGCTGCGAGCTCTCCCCCATGTGGGGGAAAGCAGGGTCCTCCATGCCGGGGGTAGTTGGGGGGCCCAGCAGCAGCAGGAGCAGCAGCAGCAGGCTCAGCCGCTGGGAGTGGAGGGACAGGTCAGGGTGTAGCCAGGTTGGGCACCCTGTCGCCATGGTGACAGGAGCATCCCAGGCCGGCCTCACCCTCATACCTTCCCCCACCCCACCTCACCATAGCCAGCCCCAGTTCAGCTGTCTTGCCCGAACTGCCGACCAGGGCTTCCTAATGGAAACCAGGCGGTCACCTCCTGGAGCCTCTGCTGTGGCCGCCACCGCCCCCCATCTCCTGGCACAGGCCACCCTCCCTGCAGGCTGTTCCCCCGGGGCTCAAGAGCGCTGGCCTACCCCCTTGCCTGCTTTGGGGAGGGTGGGTGGGCTGATGGATGGGGTGGTGAGAAAAGGCCAGCCTGTCCTCTTGCCTCCCCCCCCCCCCCAGCTCTGCTTGCGTAACCTCCGCCAGCTTGGGCCGGGCTACGGGAGCAAGGAATGTTTGGGGGAAAGCTAAGATTCACCCTGTCTGGTATTTGGGCCAACCACAGGAGTAGGGGTGGAGGCAGAGGAGTGGGGGATGCTTCAGGCCGCAGGAGGGTCCCCAAGGACCTGAGGCTGGCGGGGAGGGGTCAGGGCAGGCCTGGGCTCAGCCTGCTAAGCCCAGACACCAACCTGGAGGCTCTCAGCCAGGCCTGCTCTCCGGGCTCCTCCCCCCACCAGCTGGCCTCACTGGCAGTCACACCCCTCCTCACCCAAAATGGCCACAGCCGCCGCTGCCTGGAAGGAAATTACACGTGTGGAGGCACCAGCCTGGCGGTTAAGGATGTGCACTCAGGGCCAGCCTGCCTGGGCTTGAACCTGGGCTCGGGCTCCTCTCTGGGGCTCGGTTTCCCACTCTGCAGTGGAGGGAAGGTGGTCTCACCTCCCAGGATGGGTGTGAGGGTTAAGGGAGGGCATGCCTATGAAGAGGGAAGACAGTCCCCGCACATGGTGTGTGCCCCCGGGTGAGGCAGGCAGGCAGGCAGACAGCAGCAGAGCAAGGACGAGGGCCAGGTGCAGAAGGTCACCAGGGCAGGACACCTCCAGGAGCCCGGACAACGGGCAAAACTGGGACAACAAGGACCTCCCCCAGGATAAGCTTCCTCCCCTGGCGTCGTGGTTTAGACCCCCTGACCGTTCATATTGCTGGCCAGGGACTTGGACCTTCCCTTGACCTTTCCTCCCCTGACGCGTTGCCAGTCACGTGGTAGACCCCCTTGGAGGAGGAGCAAGGGATCAAAGAATGGCCTCATGCGGCTCCCATGCGGGCCCTTGCACAACCGCCCCCATAAGCATTAACCCCCAGGGATAACATCTGGATCTCAGTTGTGTCTCAGCCCCAGGCCGTGAAAAGCAGCAAGGCCAGGTGGGGTGACACCATGGCTGACATTAGGACCAGCTGCCAGGAGTAATGACTCCCTCCCCTGGCACCGACCAATAGAGACCACGACCCGACCTGGAAAGGACACACCTAGAAAGCTGATGAATATTCTCATTGAGATCCTCCCCTGGGACCTCCCCTAAGATCCCTGCCTTTGGAGAGGGGAGAAAAGCCCCAGGCAGAGGACCCAGCTCACCTCTATCCCACACTCTCCACCGCGCCTGTGCCTTTCCCCACCCCCTCCCCCCACCCAGCACCACACCCTTTCTCTGGAACACACCTGCACCTCCCCCCTCCTTACCCCAGGCACATGCATCCTTGCTTGCTTTCTCCTAAGTTCCTAGGGCCCTTCTTTAACCTCTGTCACTTGTTTCCTGCACCCATGTAGCCCGGCTGGCTCACTTCTTCCACAGCTCACTTCTTCTACCTCTGTCACTTTCTAAATAAACTTCTGCTTGTATTTGAGTCTTGGCTCTGAATGCTTTCTTAACCAGAACTCAACTACTGAGGTGACTGAACTGAGGTCCAATTGCTGGTAACATTCTGGTGCCATTTTGCCGCAAATAGTCTGGTCCCTGAGACATGCCACTTACCAGTGGGGTGACTTCAGACAAGTTATTTTCCTGCCCCAACCCCAGCTTTCCCACACCTAAAATGGGGGCGACAGCAGACCCTGCCTCAAAGGGTTGTCACAGGCAAAACCAGTAACAGAGAGATGTTCTAAGACCACATCTGACCCTCCCAAGCCCTCAGCGGCTGAAGCGATGGCTGCACGAAGGGCATGAAGGAGGTAGGGATCCCTGGAAGCAGAGCTTGAGACAAGGACTGTGTGTGTGTTTGTCTCAGAGAAGGAAGCTGCAGGGAAGCGGGGAGGTGACAGAAAGAAGGAAGGAAGGGAGCAGTCAATAATCAATAAGTTATCACTGGGGTTATCAACTTGCCTGGATCTTGCCAGTCTTAGCACTCAAAGTCCTGTTACCCAGAAAACCTTTAGTCCTGGGCAAACTGGGGTGATTGGTTGCTATTGTTATCAACACATTCCCGCCATAGACAACTGGGGGCTTACTCCCACTGGGGAACATAGGAGATTGTGTAGGACACACACCTCAGAGTCACCCACCTGAGGGGCAATGGAACTGGGATATTGATCCTGTACTTCCCTCCATCTATCACTGATGGAGGGCTGCCCCCGAGGGGCCTGAATTCTGCTGCACTTTGGGTAGAGCAGGCTCTAGTCCTAAAGAGATACAGGTGCCTGATGGTGAGGCCCGAGGGCATGAAAGACCCCAGATAGCACCTGCTATAGGAGGCTATGGGGTCCAGCCATGGGGAGTTGGCAGTGAAGTGCATCAGGTGGGTGGTAAGAAGGGAGCAAGATGTAGGAGAACCCTGGCTAGTGTTGCTCAGTGGTTGGAGCATCAGCCCAAGCACCAATAGGTCTCAGGTTCAATTCCCTGTCAAGGGCAGGTACCTGGGTTTCAGGTTTGCTCCCCCCCCCCCCCCCCCACATAAGGGCATGTGCAGGAGGCAATGGGTCGGCCAGTGTGTCTCTCTCACATCAATGTTTCTTCTCTCTCTCTCTCTCTCTCTCTCTCTCTCTCTCTCTCCTCCCACCTCTGGTTTAACAACAAAAAAGACATGGGAGAATGGTGGAGAGGGTCTCTGTATTATTATTCTCCCTTCCACAAAGAAGGAAACTTAAACCCAAAGAGGTAGTCATTTGCCCACATTTCCGAGGACTGTGTAGCCTTGTGTGTGGGGACCTCAGGCTGGGGCAGGTCTTAGCCGTAACCAGAGAGAACAACAAACCTCACTCCAAGTTCTCCATGTGGGACTGATGGCCACTAGTTGGAACATTGTGTAGCAGAATAATATAGCCAGTCCCAGTGAGCTACTGAGCTACCACTGCACGGATCCTGGCCCCAGGGAAGCAGCAATGCCAGCCAAGCTGTTTGAGTTTCTGGCAGGCCTCCTTCATTTGCTAAGTACGGAGAACCCAGACCAAACTAACTAATGTAAACAACATGTATTGACTCATGAACAAAATATTGGGGGAGAGGTTCTTCAGGTATAGTTGAATCCAGGGGCTCAAATGATATCTTACTATGGATTCTCTCTCTACCTCTCTGCTCACCAGCAGGCCACTCTGTGTGATCCAGCTATAGTTCAGATGAAAGCGCCAAGCTTGAATCTCAACAGCCTAGCTTTGGTTACCTGTCCATCTGGAACCAGTCCCTGTAGCCAGAAGGATAGAATGTGTGATTGGTTAGGAACCTTACCAACCTATATAATAAAAGCCTAATATGCAAATTGACCGAACGGTGGAATGACTGGTCGCTATGACACTCACTGAACACCAGAGGGCAGACGCTCAATGCAGGAGCTGACTCCAGGTGGTCAGTGCACTCCCACAGGGGGAGTGCCCCTCATCCAGAAGCCGGGTTCACAGCAGGCGAGTGCAGCAGCAGTGGCGAGGGGTCCCAGACTGTGAGAGTCCCGGGCTGAGAGAGGGCACAGGCCGTGCTGAGGGACACCCCCCCCCTCCACCTCCCCACCCAGTGCACGAATCCCGTGCACCGGGCCTCTAGTTAATCTTTTTTTTTTTTGCTCCCGCCCCCCGCCCCCCACCCGGGCCACTCTCGCTCACCCGCACACTCTCTCATTTCTAGTTAATCTTATAAATAACCCACTGGGCTTATCTCCCTGGAATAAACTCCTCTTCCTTTACTCAACCCAGTCCAGCCCAATTGTGTCCTGCCCGGTCCTGCCTTGCCCAGCTAAGCAGGGAGGTCTGTAGGGAAAAAGATGTAGTGTGGTCAACTAAATATTGATCCTGGAACAATTAGCATTTAGTACGCCTTTATGAAATGCATGCAGAATTGTCTGTATGTGTGGGAAGATTTGCATGGGAAGGGGGTGTTAATGTGTCTCACTTCACCTGAGGCACTGATCTAAGAGTAGGAAGGACTGTCAAATCAGGGGCAGCTATTGCAGCAATCTGATCTCATTTTGGTTGCAGTGAGGCTGGGTGGGGGGGGGGGAGTGTTGATGTAGGAGGGAGCAAGAGGCTGATGGGAAGTGTAGTCTTCCAATTAGAATAGAAAAGGAGAGGTCAATTCAGAACCAGTTAATGACCTTAAGGCTGACCTTTGGCACACCCCTGCTTATCCTCTGATGGCATCCAACCTTAAGACATGGGGTAAGACCCAACCTCTTAATCAGCCTTCATCCAGCCGATAAGCCTTATAGGATCTGGACCCAATCCATAAAATCACTGAAATTTAGCTGGGCATAGGCTGCCTGGAATAAAAGAATTACATTTCTGCCCTAGCTAGTTTGGCTCAGTGGATAGAGCGTCAGCCTGCGGACTGAAGGGTCCCGGGTTCGATTCCGGTCAAGGGCACATGCCCAGGGTTGTGGGTTCAATCCCCAGTGGGGGGCATGCAGGAGGCAGCTGATCAATAATTCTCTCTCATCATTGATGTTTCTATCTCTCTTTCCCTCTCCCTTTCTCTCTGAATCAATAATATACGTATATATAAAATAGTTCTCTTAAAAAATAAAGAATTACATTTCCCAGCCTCCCTTGTAGCTAGGTGTGGGCTCTAAGCAGAAGTGGTATGGACAACTTTGAAGAAAAGGGGTGCCCTTATCCTTCCTACTGAACATAGATGTGATGGCTGGAACTCCATTAGCCATTTGGGCCATGACATCAACCTGGGAATAAAGGCCTTGAATGATGGAGCAATAAGATAGAAGCAACCTGAGTCTCACATACCATCGGAAGCTATGTCATCCTTGGACTAACCAGTGTTTTGATCACCACCTACTTACCCTGTTGGTGAAGGAGGGATCACATGCCCTAAACAGTACAA